TCAAGAACTTGTTTCCTCTCTCACCTCCCTTATCTCCAGTTCCATCTCCACTTACACACTTTGAAGTGGTTTCTTAAACCCAGGTGTTTGTATGTTATTGAAGATCAATTTACAAGAGAAACATGTATAATATAAGACACAAGGAAGAATATTAGTACCAGATTAAAAACTTGTGTTTGGATATTGTGGAATAATCTTTGTGTACACTGTGAAGATGTCTAATAGAAAGCTGAACAGCCAAGAGCTAAACAGGATTTTCAGGGCAGAGAGAATACTGGAAGGAAGGCACAGATGCCTAGAGACAGAGAACAAGTAAGACAAGCAGGAGGAGAGGTAATAGCTGAGAGCCAAGAAATGAGTTGATTTAAGTTATAGGAGGTAGTTAGAAACAAGCCTAAGCTATTGGCCAAGTTTTCATAATTAGTAAGTCTCTGTGTCATGATGTGGAAGCTGGCAGGTGGGACAGATAAAGACTTACAACAATAGAGGCATTATTTAGCCAACATTTCTTTCTATTTCCATTTTTGTTGAGGTATGGATTCATATAACATTTGCATATACTTATGGTCTACAATGATGTTGTCTTGATATATGTATATATTTTTAAATTATACTGTCTTAGAATTCTCTGGATGAACAGAACTATTGGAATGAATTATAAAAATGAATTTATTAGATTGGTTTACATAGCAGGGGCTGGGTTTCCTAACTGTGGTCATCAGTGTTGTCTTGGAGTTTCTATTGCTGTGATAAAAGACCATGATCAAGAATAAGTTGGGAAGGAACTTTCAGTTTTTAGTTCCATTGCACAATCCATTACTTAGGGAAGTCACAGAAAGAACTCAAAAAGGAAGTGACCTTGAGGCAGGAGTTGATATAGAGGCCCTGAAGGAGTGCTGTCTACTAGTTTACTCCTGTGGTGTACTCGGTCTACTTTTTTATAGCACTCCGGAGCACCAGCTCAGGGTGCTCCCACAACGAGCTGGAGCCTCACACATCAATTGCCAATCAAGAAAGTGCACTACAGGTTTGCCCACAGGCCAATCTGGTGGAGTCATTTCCTCAACTGAGGTTCCTTCTTCCCAAATGACTCTGGCTTGTGTGAAGATGATACAAGCATTCTGGAGGAGCAAAGAACAAGAAAACTGCTCAGTCCAAGAAGCTGGGTGCCTCAGTACCCCAAAGCTGGCACTGGAGGTCTGGATAATCCCTGTGAACTGATGGCCTTCTGTCTGTGTTAGAAGGAGCAAGGCCCTGCTATCAGTAAGAATGACAGCCACAGAAACAGCAGCAGTAGCAACAGCAAAACAATGTGATAAATTCATTCATCAGCAAGAAGCAAATGCAGGCACAAAATACAGCATTTCTTTTCCTTGTACATCTGGTATCTGGCATCTGGACCTTCACAGGAAAAGTGGCACACATTCTGTTCTGGACAGTTCTTCTATCTCTCCAATTACTTCTTCCTGGAAAACCTCTTGAAGATCTGTAAAAGGCATGCCTCTAGATTGATCCCAGATCCCGGTGAGTTGCCATTCAAGATTATCACAGAGGCCAAACACAGGAACATAACTATCATATTGGTTCTTCACAGCTTCAGATTTAGGAATAATGAGATATGAATTTCCTATTAACAGATTCTGTACAATCTGAATAACCAACATAGAACACTTCTTAACTCAGGCTGCTATAAGACATACTTAAAATGAATGGCATATGCAACCAGAATTACTTTTCATGGTTCTGGAGGATGACAAGTCTAAGATCAAGACTCATTTTCTGGTTGATTCAGTCCCATGGTGAAGGCCATTTTTCAGGCTAACAGATGGCTACCTTTCCTCTATGTCTCAGATGGAGGAGTTGGAGTTAGAAGCAAGGCCTCTGCTATCTATTCTTATTGGGCATTAATCTAATGATGGTTGGATGATTAGACTATGAATATAATATATTCAATGGCTGCAATTCAAAATTTGTTTTGAGAAATACTAAAATGTACCAAATACAGGCCAAATAAAAACTACACTCCAATATGCCAACTACAGGGCCTATAAAAATATCTTGAGGCATTATAGACTAAAGAACACAATGATGGTAAAACTTCATAATTTATTTTATTAACTTTGGAAATGGTTTTTAAACACAAGATTTAGTTTGTTGAATAAGAATTGACATGGGATGTAAGGAAAGGATGACTAAGTAAAAAATTCAAGATTGTTCTTTCTGTATAATAACAAACCCAACTGCTCTGTCTTTTCCTTTTTTTTAAATCCCAAACCCTCATTTAGGAATCTTTTAAGTATGCTTTGACGCCTCTTACACAAAAGGTTGAAGTAGTTTACTGACATTCCCAGGAGATTTTCACTTGATAGACAACTGTTGAATTTACTCCAAAGTTTCTCTAAGTGAATCCTCCCTATCTGCTCTCTTCTGCAGCCAGCAGGTCAGCCCTCCCTGCCTTTGAGTCTTCCTTATTAAACACAGCTGAAGAGCAGAAGCATGTTGTCAGGAACAGAATGACCTATGTTCTTAAAGACTTTCCTCCAGGAAAGCATGTGATGATGCTCTTCGGAAGCATATATTCATGGAACAAAGCAGTCTGACTGTTTCTCCTCAAGTTCTTACATTTTATATATTTTCTTCTTCTAAGCTCTATTGCAGCACCATGTTTTTTTAACTTCAGTAAAGTTCTATAAGGATTTTCTGTGATTTTTTTTATTTTCATATAAATAAAGCAATACTTATTATACCTACTATTGTAATGTTTTTCTGTGTCAACCACTATAGATTATATGAAGAGGTATGATGCACTAGCTACAATTCTATAAATAAATGCAATATTCATTTTAAGGTTATACAATTATTGACATATTACTCTAAATAAATCTAAATGTAAGCACACAGCAATAATTTTGGCAATGATCTTTGGAGTCATTCTGCTATCTCCAAACCTTTTTTAATTTAGAATTTACATTGCTCTCAATTCCTGTTGAGAAATATTGATGAACTCTCCTTTATGCACAGCTGAATGCTCACTAATAAGGCAACCTTCAGGGTTTGAGAGATGGCTCTGTAGTTAAGAGTATGGGCTGCTCTTCTAGAGGATCCAGGTTCTATTCTAAATCCTCAAAATTCTCAATTCTCAATCCTCGGTTCCTCACAACCTACTGTTCCAGTCCCAAGGGATCTGACACTTTCTTTGTCTTCTGGCCTCTCAGGGGACTAGGCATGCTCAGGGTATACACACACATGCAGACAAAGTACCCACACAATAAATAATACTCTATAAAAGACACTTCATGATTTTTACGTTTTTGTTGTTGTGCTTCTTTTTCTTCTTTTCATTCTCTACCTCCCCTCTTGTTTTACAAGAGTATCTATACCATCTGCCTGATTCACAATGGTAATATTAAGATGCTGCTCTCTTGTGAAATGTCACGTGAATTTATTTGCAGTATAAACAGACTAGTAAGATACCTGGGATCCTCTATAATCAGTTATACCTGCTTTTAGGGGTATCTAGCATTACTTTATAATCAAGATAGTATTTAGAAGCTGAATGGTGAAGAAAGCAGAGAGCATGGAGGCCTGCCTTCATATTCATCCAGGGCCAGTGTTCTTTACCAAAACATTAAAAGAGAACACAGTATTTGTAAGATACTGTACAAAAGAAATATCAGAACTGGAATCTTGAAAATAGTAAAATACATAGTTTTATGAGATAAAAGTAAGAAAGCTGATAAAAATGTCGTTAGTACCTAATTTACAATATTACGTGGTGATGCATGTCACATTTTTATTGTACTTTATTATAAGGTATGTAGTTATTTCAGGCTTTTAAAGAGTTGTCACATCCAAACCAGAGAGCAAATATTTTCTCACCCTACTTTACTCTCTGGATAAGAAACAATGTATTCTTGGTTCAGTGGTCTACAAAGAAGTCAGGTTCTGTTTGCTTTTAATGTAAATTAAGAAATGACAGCTTTCCTTTAAACTAAATCCACTGAACTTGTTACTTATTCCATGAAATAACCGTCTAGAGCATTTTAATTCAAGCATTTTAGTTGGACAAATTAGAGGACCATAACCGAGTAACTGTTTTCCTGTCTAATTACTTGAATTGCAGTTCTTCTGTTTCTTGCTCCAGTGGTTTTGGAGATCTTACTGAAATTAAAAATGAAGCACAGATTCTCGCCACCATATATTTCCCAAAGATTCTAACTTCAGTATCCTTTACTTTGCAATGAGTATGTTGAAATTCTTAGTAATGTGCTTCAACAACAGATGTATCCAGTTGTCTCCAGATAGTTTGGAACCGACTGAATATTCAGAATCTCAAACTATGAGTCTTGAGTTTCAAAAATTCCGACGACTGTACTGAACAAATCATCTCTTACAACCTTATCATGAAGTTCCAGCGTACAGGATGTGTAGGGATTGGAATTTACTCCAGTGTTTGGATGTTTGGAAATGCTACCTGTTGGATTCTGAGCGCCCCATAGCAGATGCTCAGCCCAATAATGCTCTGTGCATCTTAAACGTGGGCGTGGTTAAGCAGGTAGGTTTCAATCAGAGCAATTAGAAATTCAATTTGCCCCAAAGCCATCTCCGAACTCATTTTATTAGTTCCGAGACTGCCATGTAAGTGGCAAAGTAAGCACTGGCGGCTGTGCTGGAGAGCAGGCCGAGGCGGGCCGGCGTGTTCCCGCAATGCCCAAGCCCACAGGAAAGCGGCGGCAGCACCCAGCGGAGGACAGGGCTTTCCCTGGCGCGGACACCGGGCTGAGCAGCACAGCGTTCCCCAGGGGCGTCGCGTGTGAACCGCCAGCGGACCGCAGGCTCAGGGGGGCCGCTCAGCCGCGAGAGACGAGGACACGCCTCAGCTCGGGCCAACTCCCGGCCTCCCCTGGCCTCCCGCCAGAGCCGCCCGCCACCTTTCTTCCTCCGCCCGCCCGCGACTGAGCACCCGGTCGGGCCTAAGTTCGCCCGCGCCCCGTCGCGCGGCCCCCGGGCCCTCGGAGGGAGCTGGCGGCTCGACTACGCCGGACCGATGTGGCGCATGCGTGGTGGCGCCACCCGGAGCGGGAGCTGCGGCGGGGACGGCGGCGGCGGCGGCAACCGCGGAGAGTCGGGCCGCCTGGGCCGGGCCCGTGAGGGCGGCGGCGGCGGCAGCGGCGTGGGTTGGCGAGGCCGCGCGGGCGGGGCCCGGCGACAGCTGGAGGAGCGCTTCGCCGACCTGGCGGCCAGCCACCTGGAGGCCCTGCGCGCGCGCGACGAGCGGGACCGGCAGAACGCGCGGCTGCGCGAGGAGAACGCCCGCCTGCGCCTGGAGAACCGGCGGCTGAAGCGCGAGAACCGCAGCCTCTTCCGCCAGGCTCTGCGGCTGCCCGGCGACAGCGGCGAGCGGGAGGCCGCCGACCCGGCCCGCGGCCCGCACGAGCCCGCCGCCGACCGCAGGGCCGGCGCGGGAGGCCGCGAGGGCGAGCCGGGCAGCCCCAGGGCGCTGCGGGCCCGGCTCGAGAAGCTGGAGGTCATGTACCGCCGGGCCCTGCTGCAGCTGCACCTGGAGCAGCGGGGCGCGCGCCCGCCGGAAGACAGCGGCGACGCAGCGATCCGAGAAACCGCCACCGGCCTGCGCGCCCAGGACCCGGACGTCCCCGGGCCCTGGCTGTAGCCCGAGGGCGCGGCCGGAGGGGCGGGGCCAGAGCGCCCCCGCCCCCTCGGCGCTCGGCGCCCCGCCCCTCTCGGCACGCGGAAGCCCAGGATTTGTGCTCCCGGGACTGCCGCCCCACCCATGGGCACTTCCGGGTGCCGCACTCGTTGGCCTGGGTGGGGCGGGGCGGGGGATGGAGAGGAGCCAGAGCTTTCTATTTCTAATTTCCACAAGTGCAGAGAGCAACAGCCAAGGACCCTGCTGGTGTCTGGAGAAGTGGGAGGCCTAGCTACTCAAGGGCCAACTTTAAATAGCAGGAACTGGGTGCTCAGCAGCACCTCCTAAATCCTTGAAGTTTTCAGTGTTGTGAGGACCAGTCGTCTATCTTTTCCTCTCTCTGTTTTTTACTCATTGAAGGATGAATAGTGTTTTCGAGTGCATAATGCCTATTCATTCTTTAGTTCCCTGAATCTTCTGATGTTATCTCTTTTGCGACCAACATTTATGTATGTTTTATAAATTGTTATTACTTAGATATCCCACCTTCTTTAGGACTTTTTATAAAGAAGAAAATATTTATAACTGCCTATCACTCCAGTCCACAGACATTTAATATTAATATATTCTGGTGAGTTCACCTCCAGAGATTTCAGTTTTTTTTTTTTTAAGACTATGTTCTGACAGGTGATCATTTGAGTTGATAAATAAAACTGGTGCATTAAAAATTAAATTTTCCATGCTTATTATTTTATGTGGTTTGAAGTTTTATAGGACCCTCTAAGGTTATATATGCATATATGTTGCATATTTTAATTCCTGACATTTTGTCTTTTATAATCTTATTTACACAATCTCTTTTAAAAAAATCTCAGGATAGTTTCAACAATATTTTATTCTAACATTTCATATTAACAATGCTTATTCAGTTATGGTTATTTAGGCTGATATTTAAAAACTTTGAAGAAATTTTATATTACTTGCATATTATTAGACAAAAATCTCTCATGAATTACATTTTAGTTGTGCAGTTGGTATCAGAAAAAGAAAACAATGGCAACACATACGCTAAGCTTTTTTATTAAAATTTATTATTTATTTATCTGAGAAAGAGAGTAAATACTCGGTAGTTCAGTGTCACCTGAAATTCTGCCCTTCTCCCTTAGCCTATGGAGTGCTAGGATTACAGGCCTCCACTACCAGCAACGTGTCTTCTTCTATGGTCATCTTTATAGTATTTTTCTTACTAAGCACTGAAGAAGATGCAATGTGTCTGATAAAATTTGTGGAAGTAAAAAGATGTGCTGTCTTTATCATTGACAATAGTTCTATAACAAGAGCCAGGTCGATCAGAGAAAAGTGTAGTCACAAAGTTACATGTCCCACATGCCCAGGGGAAACTGTTGAAATCTCCACCAAAAGAATACAGAGCCCTGTAGAAATAAGTGAATGATAGACTAAGAGGGAAACCTAACAAGGCCTATCTGTTTAGTCTCCTCTTGACCACAATATGTGGCATTCCTTCCCTAGGGTAAGGGTCATGACTCCTTTCAAAATATAGTTCTTATGACATCAAGTTCACTAATTTTTTTTTATAACTATCTCAAACAGGAAAGCACAGGATGCTTAAAGTAGTGTGTATATATTTTATTGCTGTGTCTGAGGAGATTTTTCTCAAACTTGCCTTAGAGAAAAGAGAATGATGATCTTTATAGTTTGCTTGTGGGAAGGAGACAACTTATGAAATACCTCAGAAGGTGGAAAAGAGATATTACTTCATGATTCTTTCAAGGTATTCAGAATAGGTACATTGATTTAGAGAATTGTGGAGCCTTATGTACGTCATTTGTTCAAAAGGATTTAAACAATGGGAAACACTTCAGGGGTCACATAAGTAATAAAGAAATAAAATGTATACTATGTAAGGTATCTCCCAGAAAAGTTTAAACACTGTATTTTAAATACTTAACTACAAAACAAGGACCAAGGGGAGTAGTGAATTTCTTTGTTAAAAATTTTGAGAACACTTTGAACACTGCTTGTAGGTAACTGATGTTGAATTGTGAATATTAAAGGAAGTCATTTTCTGTGGCCAGAATGTGAAATAGACTTTCCTGAGAAGGAGTAGGTACAAGAAAGTTAATACTACCCCTACTTATTTCATGTTTTTACGGGGACATGAAACATTTATGAAAAGCAGTAGAGTTTAAAAATAAAATGAATGGAATATTTTGTCTACAATTATTTCACCATAGCTTCAGATTTAATTTAGTTAATTTCCTTAAGACTTACAATTTTTTCCTCATCAGCAAAATGAACACAAGACCTACCTTGGAATATTGTAAAAACACTTATTGAGATATTAAAAACAAAAGGCCTGCTTCAAAGTGAGTGCCCAATCAGTGAAAGTGGCATTCTGTAGCACAAAAATAGCAAGTCCGTATCTTATTTACAAATGGCATTGCTTTGTGGGGTTTTCTATATGACGTTGTAAGTATTTTCATAAAAATGTTGATACTTTTCAATACTTACAAGTAAAAAAGGAGGAAATAAAACTTGTATAATGAAACAATAATGTAATACAGTGTTTAAAGGTATTTCTGATTAACACAAAATGGAGAAAATTCAACAAGGGAAATGATTTTTTATCCCTCAGCACCTTTTGCTTAAAGCTGTGCACATTGTTACTGTGAATAACTAACAAACTTATCAGATTTACTGCTGGGAAAAAATGTAATTGGTGAGGTACAGAATCAGATTTACTTTTTGTGCACCTTTCATGAAAGATGATAAAATTCTCAAAACTGCATACCCTATAAAATTGGAGAAGGCACACACACATTTCCACATTAATGACTTCCCTGTTGGCCGTGAGTAAAGTACCTTAAGGTGTGAAAAATGACTTGCTATAACAAAGCATATAGCCATTTAAAGAGTGGATAAAGTTGATATTACAAAAATTACCTAGGGCCTAGTATAATCTGTATAAAACTAAAAGTGTAGAATATTCTACTTTATTAAAGGAACACTTTATTATCGATTTCACATTTGTTATAAAATGAAAAGAGGTTGTACAGCTTATTTATTTTATATTTTACATATTGATCCCAGTTCCCTCTCCCTCCCTCTGTCCCATGCCCCCAACTCCCCTCCTATCCTATCCACCCCACCCCACTGCAGAGGGAGGGTGATGCATTCCAGGAGGGATCAACAAAATCTGACAAGTCATTTGCAGTAGGGACTAGGCCCTTCTTCCTGCCTCTAGGCTAAGGGAGTATCCCTCCATGGGGAATGTGTTCTCAAAGTCCTTTTGTGCACCAGGCGTACATTCTGGTTCCACCATCAGAGGTTCCTTAAACTGCCAAGGCCTTCTAACTGAGACCCATGTTCAGGGGGTTGGAGTCAGTATAATGCTGGCTTCCCAACTATCAGTCTGGGGGTCCATAAGCTCCCCTTGTTCAGGTCAGCTGTCTCTGGGTTTCTGCGGCCTGGTTTTGACCTCTTTGCTCATCACTTCTCCCTCTCTGCAACTGGATTCCAGGAGTTCAGGTCAGTGTTTAGCTGTGAGTGTCTACTTCTGTTTCCATCAGCTACTAGATGAGGGCTCCATGATGGCATATAAGTTAGTTATCAATCTCATTATCAAGAAAGGGCATATAAGGTAGCCTTTCCACTGTTGCTCAGATTGTTAGTTGGGGTCACCATTGTAGATCTCAGGACATGTCTCTAGAGTAAGTTTTCTCTTCAAACCTATAATGGCTCCCTCTATTATAGTATCTCTCTTGTTCGCTTCATCTATTCATCCCTCCACTCAATCTTCCTGGTCCCACATGTTCTCCACAGCTTATTAATAGAAGCAAAAATGTGTTTTTAGCAAAAATTATGTTGAGAATAATTGGCTTCTAATAGAGATTTTTATAGCTACTACTCTAAAAACTATACTTTACCTTCTCTATGAAACTGAGATGGGAAAGAAAATAATATAAAGTGAGATCTTACAGCAGTGATCACACAACAAACTATTTTTGGCACAATTAAACATTTTTAAGACACCTTTGCTAATACATGATATTATTATAATGGAGTTAATACTAAGTTAATACATTTAATTAATAATGTATGCTAAAGACAATAGTACCATGATCTTGATTCCAATACAAAAGGAACATTTGATACTTTTTTTTTCTAAAAGGGGGAGATTTTACTGAGAATTTGATGTACAATATATGGAAAATTTCATGGATCACTATTTACATTTCTATGTACCAATGTGTTGATTGATTACAGGTTGATTTTTCTACCACAATCACACTCTTTTTATGTTTGTTTTTCCTTTTGCACATGGTCTCACTGTATATTCCTATATGGTCTAATACTTGCTGTATAGACCAGCTGGCCTTTAATTCATAGATATCTGTCTGCTTCTCTTTCTGAGTGTGGTGATAAACATATGCACTATCATAAAAATTATAATATATATGCACATATAGTTATATATTTGAATACATGATATGTAGGATATGCAAATATATTCATGCAATGGAAATAAAAGATTAAGAAAAATACATTCATTGTAGCCTCCTTGCAGTATAAGAATTAGTCTTGCTCATTTTTCAAAAGGCAAGCTTAAACTAAGATTTGCACGTCTCAAAAATGATATTAAATTATGACACTTTTAATCCAGAGATGATATGGCTTATTGTAAAATTCAGTGATAGAATTACTTGTCATTATAGTTTCCATAATTTAGATGTTTATTTATATCCCAAAGGTTTAGATATTGCTGCTCAATCAGCAAAGTTGGTATTAAGAGATAGTGAATCCTTTCAGAGGTGTGGTAGAGTGTAGGAGGCCTTTTTATTGTAGGTATACCCTGTGAAGGGTATGTTAACCAGAAGCCGTAAAATGTTTTCTATTTTTTTCTATTTGCACACAGAATACCTAGAAGTATAATCAAATGTAAAGGCAAAGATACACACATGCACAAATGCACTCACATATTATTATATATGCACACATATGAATTTTCAGTGCATTTTACCCATTTCCACTGGT